ATATTGTCCCTTCGAGAGCTAAATTAAATAGTTATTTGATTTCTAATGTCATTAGCTTCGAGTACTCTTTTACCATCCCACGCAATGTCTTGAGAATATGAGATCAGGTAAATAACATCGTGAAGAAATAGTGAAGAGCCCTACATTTAGTAATGGGATTTTTGAAGAAGGTTAATTGTCAGTGCCGTAACGTAGGTGTCTTAGCCAGGGCACTCGTCCTTGGCGCCATTTTCGGTAGGGCGGGGGAGGGTGGTTGTCCGCTAAAACATTAAAATGTCTTTATTTTATTAGAGAGTAGATATATTTGTGTTTCTCAGCATTAAGTTTTTATCCTAAGGTATATCATGCCCCACACGTTAACTTTTTTACAAATTAAATAATTTAGAAAGTTCCACTACAGCACTAGTAAATTTCTTCAATCAAACGGTGTGAATGGATTCGAATTTCAAGTTAACTACGAACAGCGGTGATAAAATACTTACTATGGAATTGTATCTGAGGCTGCAGAGGATTTCACAGACGCAGTGGGAGTTCGCGTGGCCTATGAACTGCGATGGTAGCCAATACTGCCTTCGGAATTATAATAACTGTCTACAAAAGTTTTGTATAGGTGTCGGCTACGACGCATATCAGTGAGCACCATTCTCACTCTCAGATCATAAATAATTTTTATTCCATTCATAAATCGTTATTCAGGAACAATTGTATCATGCACTATTACTTTTTACTCTCGAATTTATTTTATAAAACGGGTATGAACTTCTTTGGATCTGTATTTATGTTTCTTCCATCATGTTTCCTCTTTACCTTTATTGTTACTTTTATTTGCAATATTGGAATATATTGACAAAAATATTATTGAAACCAATATGATATAAAAACATTGTTTCTGTGGAACGCCAAATTTTATTCAATACAGTGACATCGGTGTCGTAAGTTGTTTCAAAGTCGCTGGAAAAGTAACCATATCCTACGTGTTGACAGTACAAATAATTAAACACATATCAAAATACTATGATGGTTCATTTCTTCCAACAAACCTCCGCACAATGAATTCAAATTGGTTCAAAAGAAAATTGGCCCAAGATTCTCGAGAAGTCACACAATTTTGGTTATTTCATCCTTTAGCGAAGTCTAAAGCCTGCATTTTGTTTTTCTGCTTTCTATTTTCTCGATCAGCAGTTGACAATAGAAAGAGAACATGGATGCAACCGCTAGAAAGCACCGGAGGAAATGAACCTCGATGAACACTTGCGATACCCTCGTGAAAGTTTTGCACAATAGAAATAAACAGAGACATGTAAATGAAAACATAGAGTTGATTGATACAACTTCAATGTTAGATTGAAAATTATAAACATAAATCGAGGAAAACAATTAAAAGAGTTCTCTACTGCCTGAAATATTTAGCTCTTCAGAATTTCTAGATCACAGAGAGGTATTTAGATATGGTTACGGTACAGACACCGACAAGGAAAACTTAATAGGTTCATTTCAACTACTGACTGTCTTAGACCATATTTCGAAAGAGATTTATGGGCAAAATAATTTTATATCAACTTCATATATTTCCTTCAGATGTTCAGATTGAAGCACAGCCCTTATGGCAATGGATGATAGTAAAATGTATTAAATTAGATTCGAAAATCAAATAGTATGGCCTGTTCTTTCATTCCACTTCACATCATGCCCCTGGTGAACAAATGTGTATAACTTGTAAACAAAGTGGAAATTGAATATCAGAATACGGCAGTTCCTGTCACAGAATCTTTTCATGACTTCTTCTAGATCAGGAAAAACTATGCCGAGGAAATATTTAAAGAAGCTAATGGAGGACGTGAAGCTACAGAGTTGCCAGTCTCGCTGCTTCAATATTACAAACGTAATGACTGGTCACATAACTGGAGTACGACAAAGAATGTTAGAGAACTTGGAATGTTCGTTAAAAGTGATAATCAGAAATGAAATTTTGTAGGTGTGCAGACTTCAAAGCAAGAAATAACGGTACTTACATTTTTTCGAACATTTGGTTCTCTACATACATTATTTTCTCGCACTTTTTAAAGCTAGGAATATTTAAAGAAACGCAGTACCTTCCCATATTAAATTTTTTTCTCAAAATGGATGGACAGCTAAAATCATTGCTGTGAAACAAATTAGTTAGTCTGTTGAATAAAATATCTTAGTATTTCAAAATATTACTTCAGATGAATCATAAACGATGGATACTGTGAGTGAAGAAAAAAGATAAAGAAAACATTGGTGCCGTTTTTGAGAAAGCGTTCTTGTTGCCTTTATTTCAGGCAAAAATTATTCAAATATTATTCGTATTTTTTTAAAATGTTCATTACCTTATTTATATGTAGCGAGTGTCATGAGGGTTGGTCAATAAAATGTCTGTTTTTTAAGTGCCAACGTTTCGGCATTTATTTGGCCTGCTTCAGAGCTAGATGTAGATATAGAAAATAGGAAAGTGCCAACAATGGATTTTGATGATTTACTATTACAGAAGAGGAAAACATCAATAAAACACAATTCATCATACCAAAGGACAGAAAAAACAGAAAAACAAACAAACTAATGTACATAAAACTACAAGTAATTAGTTTTTTCTATCTCTTAGTATGTAAAATTATGATTTATTGTTCTTTTTCCCTTTGGTGGTATTTTTTTTCTCTTTTAAAGGTATTTCCTTCTTTGTAATGGTAAATCACCAAAACCTGTTATTGCTGGCGCATTCCTTTCAGCATATATATTGTATACCTATAGCCCTGAAGCAGGCTAAATAAATGGTCGAAACATTGGCACTAAAAACACACTTTTTATTGACATATCATCATGTCTCTACATACACTGTAATCCGTTGTCACGATCAGAACAACAAATTATCTTATTTCAATACACACACACACACACACACACACACACACACACACACATATATATATATATATATATATATATATATATATATAAATATATATTCGTATATATGGAGAGAGAGAGAGAGAGAGAGAGAGAGAGAGAGAGATTTTTAAAAAATGGACCTGAGCCATATTTATTTCTTTTTATTTGGATAGAACAATACAAAGATCAGTGTTTAACACACTCTACATTTCTTATAATTACTTATATCAACTTATCTAATTAACTAAAGATAGTCTTACTAATATTCTTAAAATACAACCTACATTACTACTAGAGTGGTAGATGTGTCTTTATATAATATTTTTAATTTGTTTCGAGATCTGAGAATTTATTTAGGAATGTATGGAAAGGAAATTTATTTTCGATGCGGGTTCTGTGTATTAGATTTTGGCAGAGTCTTAGCGGGTTTAGGTTGGGTATATTTGAGATGTTCTGGAAGATGTGGGTGGATACAAAAATGATGTGGTTGGTTATCGGTTTTAGCTGGAATTCTTCATGGAGTTGAGCATTGGAGATGTACCATGGGACATTCGTGATAGTGCGGAAGAACTGATTTTGGATTACTTGGAGTTTTTGTGTATTAGATTTGGCTGCGCTGATCCAAACTGGGCATGCATATAATAGTAGTGGTCGTATGATAGTTCTATAGAGCAATAAGGTAGTGATGTATGGTAGTTTAGCTGATTTATTTATTATTGGTTTTAGTTGGTGCAATTTTATTTTTTCTTGAATAACTTTATTGTCGATATGGTTTACAATTGAGTAGGGTGTCTAAGAAAAGGCCTAGATATTGTATGGGTTGATTATGAGGATGCCGTTGTATAGGTTGTTGATTCAACTGTAAGGAGGGTGGGGGGACGTAGGGTCCTAGAGAAAATATTTTTGCTGCTGTTTTTGACGGATTTATTTTAATTTTATTTTTGTCTGCCCAGCTGTCAATTTGGCGTAGATGAAGATCGATTTTTATTGAATTTATGTTTCGGTAGGTCGGCTACGAACAATTTGTAAAGAGCGGGAGATAATGGGGAGCCTTGGGGATGCCTGCTTTGACCGCTCTTGGATTAGAGTGATGGTTATCAACCGTAACGGCAAAAGTTCTATTGTTGAGGATGTTGGGAATGATTTGTGTAAGATAATGTGGAGAGCCTATTTCTTTCATTTTATAGTTTAGAGCTTGGTGCCATGTTCTATCGAAGGCTTGAGAAATGTCGGGAAAGATTTTGGTGTTTTTGGAATGCCGTATGGAAGTTCCTGAGTAGTTGGTGATGTGTGGACACTTTTTCTGTGAATCCCATTTGTTCTATGGGTATGGCCTCTGAGATGTGTTTTGAATCTTTTTAATACGAATATTATGTTTTCTAATAATTTAGATAGCGAGGGAAGCAGACTCAGTGACGGTAGGTTACAGTTTCCTTAGATTCTTCGGCCGCATATCCGAATCAGTATTGCAAACATTGGATATAGTATTGCGTATAAAATACTTGAAAGAATCATCCGTAATTTCTTTACGGTGTTTAATGGTGTTATCATCTTTATTTTCATACTGACGAAAAATTTAAAATGTTACGGAATTACCGCGCTTGACAGTTAATATTTAATCAAGTAAATAATCTGCCATGTTTGTCAAAAGCAGAGAGGAAATGAGTTCATAAAATGACAACCTTGAAAGCCGTCTTCCGCTTAAGTTCCTTCTTAACGTTTTCTCCGTCTTCACGAGCGTAGCTGTTACGTCGAGGGGATCTCAAGGTCATCTGATGAATCTTACGGAGAGAGCGTTCCAAGCAGATCCGTTGATGCCACACAGCGAAATCAGGTGCTAAGGAAAGAGACAATTGTTCCTCGAAGCATTGGTTATTGTCATTTGTACGAATAACAACTACTTTATATGATGACGTATTTCATAGTGATACAACAGTCATGAGCAAGCTGAATGGCGACGTGCTTTTATTTCCTTGTTAGTGACTGGTTCAGAATTAAAGTTACCTAACCTAAAAAAATAACTTCAAAGATCATTTCAGTGATTTCACTCTAGTAACTGATTAGTTTCATGTAGTTCAATATTGTATGTATGTATGTACTTGGCGCGACAGCCCTTGAACGGGCTCAAGCCTACCGGCGACGTCCCTGCCTCGCGGCCATGGGTTAAGTGGGTACGTGTGGTTAGCACATAAACATCCCTACGCCGTATTCCGGTCTTCTCAACCTGCGAAGAGTGCAATATTGTATTAGTATAACATTATCTTACAAATCTACCACATATATTAGAACTAAATACCTTAATGACACCAAAGGAATTCCTCTTCTTTTCCATTTACATGGGTTTGAGAATCCTCACCGTTCGATTATGGGACCTGCTGGGATTTTTCGTCTGCTAGTGTCACGATAGGGAAACTCCATGGGATTGACACAGGGAAAATCTGACCAGTTTTAGACACGGCACGACAGGTAAACCTTATACGATTGGCACTAGGAAACATCGATCATTTCTAGACAGGCCTATCTAGTCAGAAAATTTGATTTGGAGAAGGCAACCTAAGAAACATGTTCGGTTGTTAAGAAGTAAAATAATATCACACAAATCATTTTTGTAGAATACACAGAGAAATTACTAAACAGGTATATAGGAATTAACCCTTTTTGTTTCGAATTGTCAGCGCCTATGATCAATACTGACGCCCAAGTGAGTAAATACACTTCCCATACCAATTAAGTAAGAATTATAGTTGATGGAGAAATAGCATACGTGACAAACAGCAATTTAGTGAAATTAATTGGGTCAACTGCTCAATAAATCTCTCATTTGCTAAATATTGAACAAGTCATTCTTATCGAGATTTCTTTAATGAGGAGCTAATGGAAACTCCTCAGTTTTGATTTAGCTCATTTAAAAATGTTATTGGTTAGAATTCATAAGTGATGATCGGGCTTCCTTAAAAGTGAAACGATTAAAGCTAGTCAGTTGTGATGGGGTGTCCTTGAAATGTAACTGACTAAAGCTAGTCAGATCTGATCGGGATTTCCTGTCGAGGAAAGCTCCGGTCTTCCTTTATAGATCTTGCAAGAAAACAAAGGTTTCCTTTACAGTGCTAGTCGGAAAACTAATTTCCTAACTAGCATACGTATTAGGGTTTCCCGACTAAACTTTCTACTAGGGATGTTCTTAACGTAAAATAAAAATGTGCTGAAGTAGATAATATATTTTTAATTTGCACATACTTCCTTTTCATAGACGCAAAAAAATGTGGATGCTGTTGTAATGTACGTGTTTTTGTAACTATGCACTCCATATTTTAAAAATTGCTGCGCATAATACAATATTTTTATGGCAGACTTGTATTTCGTTGTATATCTGTTGGGTTTTTACAGTATTAGATTCTATTGTGTGTAGTATACAAAATAAAATATTAATTTTATTATTTTGACTTTGATGCGCTTGTACATGGGTAAATCTGGTGGCCTTTTTTATTTTGTATTCCATTTAAGAAGTATAACATTCTTGAGAATCTGTGAAAATCATTTAGAATTTGTCGATATCATAGGAGACACTGATATTATAGGGGACCTGGAACAATAAAACACTTGAAAGAGCTGCATAAACCTCATATTTACAACTGATAAAGCGAGATGCAAGAACTGTTTGCGTTTTTATCAGTAGCTGATAACAGTGGAGGTGGAGGAGCAGATGCCTTACGACGTGGATGGGTCTCCTTTAAGTTGTTTCATCAATCATACATGTCGCAAAGAAGTCTTGGTAATCGAGATTTAAGGCATAATTTTTAAGTATGAAACCCAGTTGTTCTTTGTTGGAAACATCTGCTTTCGAATGAATTTTATTTGGAGCATAAAAGCACTAGGTAACAAAAAATCTACTAGTAATTATTAGAAGGCTATTCGTTAAAATCATCTACTTCTTTAGTAACTGAACTTTTTCCCCTTCAGATGTTTAATATGAATGCAAAAATTAAGCAAAAGAAAAGTCGTTTTGCCAAGCAATTAATATCTATGTGTTCAGATGAAACTTTAACTTACAATGACTTCAAGCGTTAAATCTTAAAAATGAAGCGCTTAATGGTATTTTTACACAATACGTCACCTAATCTACGTGACCGTCACATGTTACACAATTACACTAATACAACACCTATCAATAGTTTAGGCGCTAGTATTGTTCATAACAGACAGATAAACCAACGGGCGGGTGGGCGAACGGGCGGACAGACGGATGGGCGGGCGGACGTTTTGAAACTAACGGTACTCAGCGGTACATACTTTTTCGATTTTTTCTAAATTTACAAATTTCGAAACTTCAGAGGGTTCAACGAAAATGAGACCTTCCCCATTCTTTTAAGCGTCTCTTCTTTTAGCCGTGAAAAAGTTTAAAGAAACAATTTGGAGTGGTTTTTGAGAAAACATGTAGGAATTGCATAGATTTCGTTTACAAATTACCTTGAAACTACTCATGTTTTGCAGAAAACATGACCGTTTTTAAAGAGATATTTTTTACAACAGACTTTGTCAACATCAAAAATCTCTATTTTCCATTTTGTAGTTTTGAAAAGTTAACTTTTTGCAATTTTTAAAAAAAAACGAAAAGTTTGCCGAAAAAGGGACTAGCACAATATTTTTACGGTCCTTTATTACATATGAGGAGAAATTTTCAAGAAAAAATTTAGAACGGTTTTTTAGAAAAAAATGTTTAAAAGCATTAATTTCCTATATTTCGCGCTAAAATAAACAAAATTACTCCCATTTTAGGAAAATTGAGCATTAACTTATTTAAAAATCTGTCTTTGATGAACAGATTTCATTAAGGAAAAAAATCTATCTTCAATATTATAGTCGTAAGAAGACGCCCATAAAATGTTCACTTTTACAATTTTCGAAAAATCTGGGATTTTAACGAACATGAGAACTGCAGTGTTCTCTTAAGCGTTAGGACAAAGTTCAATCAAAAAACTGGTACCATTTTTGAGAAAAATTTGAAAATGTTTGTGAGACTTCATATAAAGAACCCTCAAAATATCCGGTTTACACTCCCCAGTCCTCGAGTTGGTTCATATCGATCAGGGAATATCGATTTCGATTTTGGAGAAAGTCGGCTGAACGATGTAGACGCTAGTACTGACGCCAGATACGCAGACACGTTTTGCTGTCAATCGATTTTTTAATATCAAAACGCACCACAATACGCAGGCTTCTGGATACACAACGTGTTGGAGGAAGTAATTTACTATTTCTGTAATATATAGCGACGATCTACTTTTTCATTACCAGGCCCGGCAATAGGAGTTTTTATGCCAAAAAACTTGTCGTTTTCCAGCACACGATTACATAACTTTCTGTTTTTTCGAAGGAAAGTAAAAAGAGGAAAGGGAAAGGAATTTACATTACATGAGTTCGGATTCTTCCAGTTTCCTTAAAACAAATTAAAGCGGTGATACTATGAATTTATCTATGTTGATATCATGCTTAAATGTAACTATTTTCAATGACTAATAAAACATATATTTCCATCGTCCAATAGGGATAGTTGGATCCTATCAAATGTCAAGTTTTATTTACTTCTCCTATATTCTCCATACTTCAGGATTCTGTTCAAAAGGGGCTACTTGTGTACATTTAATTACCCGGTTTTTTGTCTTCCAAAAAATACTATGATGGAAATAACTCCACTTGTGTCTTGACAAGAAAATTAATACGTTTTGTTTTATTATTTTGTTGCAGTAAGATTCATATTCGTTTTGCACATTTTAGTTCTCTGATTTGGTCTTGGGAATTAAACGACTGAGCTCTTTCGAATGAAGTGTTAGAAAAATACCTTGCGAATTCTGTATTCCGAATATTTATGTTTATACTGAAACGTTTATTACATTTCAGCAATTAATCCTAGAAACACACTGTGATTCCCTCTACTTCGCCATATTAATACATTGTACATGTTAAATGGCGTTATATTGTTATTTCATCTCCCTTGGAGGTTAGAAGTGGCAATTGCAGCTCTAACTCCAGAATAGCATATTTATTAGTGTGTTGTGAAATGTTTGAACTGACGGATCTCATACGACCCAGCACTGCAACATCATTGCATGAGGCACTTTGACTTTCTCGTATGCTACTACGTCCCTGATACTCAAAAAGTGGAGTTTTCTTGTAGTAAATTACTTTCTCAAATACCTAGTATAGTTAATCCACATTTCGCAAGTTCGCGATACCGAAAAAGGAGTTTTCGGCAATTCATCTGTGCCTCCGTCTGTGAACAACACTCGCGTACATACCGTACACATGATTTTCTAAACTACACTAAAATGGATAATTGCCGATCCATCTACCAGATGTCGCGATTCCTCGAATTTGAAACGATAAGTTTAGGGTGAACATTAAATAAAGCCAACGAAATTATCAAAGTTTTCTCAAAAAGAGCGGTAAATATTTTTTTTTAAGTTTTCACTGTAATAGACCTTGGCATAGGTTTGAATATCATTCAAACTTCTGAATTTTCGAAAATAACAATAGCTTTAAATCATTTCGGCTCCGTCAATACACAAGGAATTTCGAAGTTTTATTTGTGGCGAGGAACCTACCAATGTGATACCTGGATAACAGTACGAAAACCAGGCCGATTTGCTTTCCGACCTCGAAACTAAGTCAGAAAGGTGCAAACATTGTGTAAGATATTGTAACGTATTAGCCAGCGTGCCTCGTGGCATCTATTTGGGACCTTGCAGGAGTAGGCCTTGCGCACAAGGAGAAGAAGGGTTTCCCGTAAAAGGAAGAACGCGGAAACGGGAGACACCAAGCTTTGGGAAGTTTCCGGCGTATAGAAGCTTTTCACTGTTATAACAAGCGAGGAGGTAGTGCGTGACGTAGTAGGTCACGTGGGACTCGCCTATATAACTGAGTGTACAGAGCCAGGTAGGTCAGGTTCTGGAGACGGATGGCGAACCTCGGCAGTGTGCACAAAAACTTGGCGCCAAGACGGTGCATATGCGAGCCAGGGCTCGCACGAGGCTGGAGTCATTAGTTGAGCGAGCCTTGCGGACCTTATGTTCCTTGGGTGACTGGCAGGTCCGGGGAGCGATGGCTGTGGTGCGTCTCTGAGGTGAAGAGTAGGTGAGTGCCACGATTACACGCCGATTACTCAATCGGATAAGATCGCTCCTGCGAGTCGGAGCAAACAAGCCGTTAGCGTGCGCCAGAACGCTACTTAGTTCCCAGCGTGGACATCCCGGTCACGGAAGCTAGGCTTTCGTGCGCGCTATTCCAAAAGTAGGAGTGGCGGAATGGCCACAATCAAAACCATCTGTCAAAATCGAGGTTTTGGATCGCCCCGCGATCAGGGGATAGTTCGTCTATCAGCAGCTAGGGTTTAAGTATAGATTTATTAAGTGATATATATTTGTTTTGTTTTCTTATGATTAATAAATAGATATCTGTTATACGAAAGTGCCTGTGTCTGTGGTCGCTGTGATAATCCATGACGTCACAATATGTTTTTGGTACACGTGCGCGGATCGTCGATCATTTTTCCTCAAATGCAAGGATGACAGGGCAAGACGTAGCCTACTCTAAAAAAATTAAAAAAAGAGAAAACGAATAAATAGTTTATGACATTCACAATTGGTAATTTAAAGTTTTCTGATATACATAGTAGATAGTTGTGGTGTCTAAGAATGTCATTCAAATTACAGGAACTTTGCATATACACGATGTTCAGTGGTGAAGAAACGTAGGCCGAACAGTGGAAAGTAGGGATACTATCACGAATAATAATAATAATAATAATAATAATAATAATAATAATAATAATAATATATAGTAAAAGAAAAGTCACTTCTATGAATCAATCAAAAGATAAATTAGAGTGAAACGAATTATTAAAACTCAAACCTGATCATTAACATTATTTTTTACTTGGGTCGTCAGACAATAGTGTGAGTTGTAAATGTGACAAAGTGAGACTAGAGTTAATTACTCAAAAGTCGGAAATGGAAATATACAACATTTTCCTTTCACCATCTTCGAATGATTACTGCTGTTCTGCATGGCTGCAGCGGTAGCGCTTCTTTTCATAAGTGTATGTCGTCATTTGAACAGTGGTTTGTGTTTAGCCCCCTTTATTATGAGTTTCACTTTGATCATGGAAAGTGATTGCTTCCATAGAGAATCGCACTGATCTGTTCGGTATTTTAACTGACCGGGATAGTACAGCTTGTGAAGCAGGGACTTGTGGAACTTAACGAGGCATTGACCCAATGAAGCCACTTAAACGACGGGTGAAAAGCTCAGTACACAGGAACTCGGAACATTAAAGGTAATATACGTACAGAGGCTTAATTTTAAAATGGGTCATTTAGAGCATTTATTTTAAATTATTTTGGGCTTAATAATGAATTAAATTCCATAAAAATGTAATACACTTTTATTCTAAGAATAACATCATTCGGAAACGATTTCCCACCAATTGCAAATAAATGGTCATTGATACACATGACAGAAATCGGCAAAATCTCACTTAATCCGTTGATTTGAGAGATTAAAAAGTTTTTCAATATGGGACAAGAGTAATTTCAATTTTTCCGGCAGAAGAGAAAGTATTGTAATTGTTTACCAAAAATCTGAAATGCTGCAACAGCAAAACTCTTTTTGCCGGACCCTGGTAACAAAAAAGTATACTAAATCGTTTTTCTGTACGTAGTAAATTACTCCCTGTAATACGTTGTGCAGTTAGATTTGCAGATCGTTGTCACCGAAAAATCGATTAACGGCAAAACGTCTGTCTTTGTTTGACCGACCGTTTGTTTGTCCACCAATTTGTGGTCAATGCAAGCGCATAAAACGTTCAAACGATTTTCTCCAAAATTGATATTCCCCAAACGATCTGAATGAACTCCAGTCTCTGCGAGTTTGAAATCGATATTTTGATTTTTGGTGGTTACTCAACTGAACTTGTAATAAGGTCATGTTCATTTTTTTTTTAAATTGTAGTGTTTTTAATAATTTTGCGTGAAACGTAGGCAATTTTGAAACAAATTTTAATAAATATTTTCTCTAATTGTTCGAAATGTTTTGATTAGACTTTGTCCTCGGATACCGTGAAGAACTCGTAAAAACATGGCCTTATTTTGCGTTCAAATCTCTGAATTTTAGAATATTGCATAAGTTCAATACTTTTTCAATGTCTTCCTCCAAACAACTAAAATACTGAAGATTTCCCCCTTAACTAAACCTGTTCTTCAATGGCGGATCTCAATAATGTTGAGTACAATGTTTCGAAAATGCGTGTAGTTTTTGCATAATGTTAGCGTGAAATATAGACGTTCCTCTCAATTTTTTAATGTTCATTTTATTCATCGTGCGTAGCAATGGACGATAAAATAATTGGTGCTTTTCCATTATCGCCAGATTCTCAGTATTTTCGAAAATGATTTAAAATAACATGGCAAAAACTATAAAATTGAAGATAGAGTTTTTTGTTTGGAACGAAATCTGTTCTAGAAAAACAGATTTTTAAAAAAGGTCATGTACAATTGTTTGGAAAAAATTCCATAATTTATACTTGAAGTAAATATAATGTAAGAAATGAAGTATAAAGAACAGGTTCCAAATTCTTTCTTTAATTTTTGTTCAAGGATAGAGCAAGGACGTTTAAAAAGTGGTCTCATTTTCGTCAAACTCTCTGAATTTTCGAAAATTATACAAGAGTTAGAAATAATGCGAGAAAGTATTCAAGTGCTGTCGTTGCAATACTATTTTTTGACTTAAAAAGAAGAATTTTCGGTTTAAGTCACTAAGTACTCGTGAGAGGCTATTGAAAACACGTATACAAAAATCCCAATCAGGAAACACGCAGTACCGAACGTCAGTTGCACGTGCCGCGCACCGCGAATTTGCGCCGTGACGCACGTCAGGGCCCTCCCGTGCACGACGTCTGAATTCGAAAACAGCCGCCGGGCGGCGACGTGCGCGCCCCTGGCGGCAACCTCGGCAGACGGAGCTCCCCTCCCCGGCGCGCGGCGGGCGCGGGCGCGTGAGCGAGAGAGAGCGCCGCCGCCGCCGCCGCCGCAGTTGGCGCGGCCCCGAGCACCCGAGCGCCTAGGCGGAGAGTGTGTGTGCGCGGTGCGCGAGTGCGGGCGTGCGTTGCGGGCGGTGCGTTGGCTGGCCGGAGCTGCTTGGTGCCGTTGCTGCTGCCTTGCTGGCCTTGCCTGCCATCCGCCGTGATCCCTCTGCCACGAGACACGATGTTCGCGTAGCTATCTGTACTTGTCTTTTTTTCTCTCTCGCTGTCCTCATAACGTGTAGCACCGTTACCGAGTTCTTACATGTGGTGAAAACACTGCAGATCTGAGGAATATTTTCAGATAGAAAAATTACCCTGTATCAAGATGCAGTCGTAATAATCTGCGTGTGATACGACACCCGGTGTGCATTCTGTCACAACAACCCCAAATAAGAGAAAAAGTGTTTGTGGTCAAACAGAATAAAGGATCTGAAAATCGGAAGCGAGCAGTGCAGCTGTAGCGTGGAAGGGGCCTAGTGTCTGCAGTGGTACAGATGCTGCGAGCGGGGCGTCGGGTGGTGCGCTGCTGCGGGCGGTGTTGACGACTCGTGGGCCGACACGCCGCCATCGCCTGTGGCCGTCGCGCGGAAGCGCGGGAGGAAGTAGTACGGCGCCCAGGAGAGCAACGCCACCGCAGCCGCCGCCGCCGCCGCCGTCGGCGCCCGCGGCACCCGCCGCCACAAGATCTTCGCGCCATGGCGCGCCGCTTCGTGGGAACTTGGCTGTGAGGACGCGATCTGCCAGGTAGGTCTGTCCGCTCGGCAGGCTGCCGGGCCGCCGGGAGGGCGCCCGCACCGCGGGGGCGAGAGGGGGTCGAGGGGGGCGGAGGCACCCGTGAGCGGGTGATGTGCCGCGTGCCGGGCGAGCGGTGGCGGTGGCGGTGGCGGCGACGGAGGCGGTGGTGCAGCTCGCGGCGAGTAGCCTGCCTGCTGCGCTGCGCAGAGCTCACCCTACTTTTGCGCTGCTCTCTATCCGGCGTCGGAATCGACTGGTTGGCCGCCTATCCAGCTGATCGTGGAGTTGCGCTCGAAGTTAGGCTCAAGGAAGTGTTAATGCGACTGTTATCTCGGCAATGTCAACGACACCCTAAGGCAAATGATGGTGGGGGATAACATGGCACATTCTGTCTTTTGTTTGGCCCGGAATATCACTTGTTATAATCGGCCATTCATAAATAATTTACTCTTTACGCGTACTTTTGTTTCGTTATTAAAATTTGTGGTAATGAGGCGTTACCCGGAACAAAGCGTATGTTACACGTTCCGAAATTTACAATGTTGTTGTGCTATTTTACATGTTGACATTCCGTTTGTTCTGAACTCTCGTTCTGAATGTTTACTTGCATGAAGGTTGTCCCACTTTCACACAGCATTTGCTTGCATGGGAATTCCAAAGTAATTTGATTAAGTATAGAGTTTCATACCCGTTTTATTTATTCTGCGAAATGTTGATAATCTACAAGGAGACCTAGTGAAAATTTCGAGTATTCACAACTTGATGCCAGGCATGTTTTGACTTCTCCAATCGCTTTCGTTCTTCGCAGTGTTTTTTATCTGCACGTTTCATATCAGTAGAGAAAGCGACTCATTAATACCGATTGTAGACGGAGATACATAGTTAATTTATCGTATGTGTGAAGTATTGATAATGACCATTAGTCAGTGGGTTGCGACAGAAAAGGTGACATGCAGTTTGTTAAAAGCCAGAAAAGAAATACCGGAAATAGAACACAAACAGAAGGACAGACACCAGGGAAAATAGTAGCAATTGAAGAAGGGTGAACATCGTAACTGTTGAAGAAGTACTCTTAGCTGATTTGTCTAATACGGAATTACCATATCAGAGAAGGAAATTGCAAAATGTTCACACTGTCATCCTCTGAGGAAATATTTAATGATCATATGCTAGTAAATATATTTTATTGAGTTCTATCATGGAATTCTAATTATTCGTGTCAATGTTTTGTTATCACTGTTGTTTGTTATTGTGGTATTAAAAGGTTGACTACTGAAACAAGTACGACAAAGTTTGAACAATGAATTAATCCTCATTAATTAAACAATGCTGTTTTGCTGGTACATCATAAAGTTTATTACCGATATTGTATGTTCGACAAAATACGAATATGAAGTTAATACGAATACTGTGTGTATATTACGTATTACGTAATTGGCTGGTATATTTCGTTTCGCGCTTCTTTGAAATTGTTTATTTCAAAATAGTGTTTAATGATGTGGTTTTAAACAAATCAGGAGTAGGTACTCTATAATTTCCCAAGTGCAAGGAACTTGTAGTTGGTTATCATTAGTTTCTGTGTACATGCATGCATGTTAGCTTATTAATTGATGCACGAGTCACCCTGTTGTCATCCAAATGCAAGTGAGCTACTGAAGTACCTAATCTTCTTACGAAAATGTGCTTAAGATGTGTCTCTCCAATACAGCTTTTTTTAAATAATATATATATATATATATATATTATATAATTATATAATGATATATAATTATATATTATATATATATATATATATATATATATATATAATGTTGACATAAGATTGAGAGGTGAGAAATTGTTGAATATTCTAATATTTAGAGGATATTCTTGGAGACATGAATTCAAGTTACGTTTGTTTTGTAGTAAGAATAACTTATTATATAGTAAAAATAAGTTGGTACGTATGAAAATGAAGAAATTTCATCGCATATTTCAAAAAAGGGAGAGCTATATGAAATGTTGAAATTCTTATTTTTGCGTCATTACGCGTCATTATTATTAGTTTTCTTCTAATTCTCGGTCATCAAGGAAGTATACCATCAACTTGCTTTTACACACCAAAGAATGATATTGAACATAATGGTATCAGAACGTGAATTACAAATGTGTGCAAATATCGGGAAAAAGTTGTTTTATTTTGATACTTTTGACATTAATTCATGTAATGTGTTCTATTTTACTACTCTGCGAAGTAATCAGATACGTCTTGATTAAGAAGCACTCAACGCCAGTGGCGTAGTCAGAGGGAGGGCGGGGGGGGGGCGGTCCGTACTGGATGTCATCATTTTTAAGGGTGACACCAATTCGAAAGTTTTATTATTTGGAATAATTTACTTATTCTCGTGAACAACAACAGGAAAACAGGGTTTTTTATGGAAAGGAATGTGAAACTCTATTCATTAAAGGAAGAAAAAAAATTAGGAGCCCTGAATCCAGTGATCTGGGAATCAAATAGCAAGAAAACGAAAACTAGAATATATAAACTTATGTGTATGTGAAAGTGTTACATTGTATGGAGCAGAAATATGTCAACTTCCAGAACAACAGAAAGGAAAATCGAGAGTCCTGGTAATGGATTTCATCAGAAGAATTGCAGCAATACCTACAAGGGAAAGAATAAGAAATGGACGGGTAAAGTAAATAATGAATCTGCATCTTATTATAGAGGAAATTGAAAAGAAACTACTCACTTGATTTGGACATATACAGCGAATGGACGAGAAAATACTCCCCAAAGGATCATTAGAATGGTAACCACGTGAAAGAAGAAAACGAGAAAGACCAAGATCAGGTTGGAACGACCGCATCAGAAAAATAATAGAGAAGTGGAAATTACCTCCTGATTCCTGGAAGAACAGAGAAAACTGGAGAAGACGATTAGGCGCCGGAAGACCGAAAGTAGTGGCTATGAAATTGGCAAGAAGAATAAGATAGTAATATAATTATTTATTTACAAAATGTATTTCAATTCTTGCGAATTACTTACAGATTTTTAATATAATTTAAAGAAATGTCATGTGCAAATATACTTTTATTTTTATTAAATACATACAGTAATAGATATTTTTATATTACCCTTTATACTAATTATTTTATATTAACTTATGGGGGGGGGTCGGTTTTATTAGTTTTGCCCCGGGTGATACCAACTGAAGCTAAACCACTGCTCAACACATCACGAACCTCCAGATGTTACGACAAAACGCTTTAAAGTAAAAGTCCGCTATCTAACTTCCAAGCAAACACGTTTGCACCTTGAAGTTTTATTATAGTTTTACTCATCCGTGCAAATAAAGTTTGACCTTTTTTTTTGAGATACACTATAATGGTTTTTCAAAAAAGAGAAATTAATTTGAAAAAAAATATTTACCTGAAATTATATTGTTGCAGCGCCAATTATATTAGAATAGTCAACTAAATTCTTAGAAGACTTACTTCCTAAAGCTATATTTTGCTATTAGCTTGCCCTTGCAAAAATAAGCATGTATTTAGTGATAAGATGATTAATTTGATTTCTCAATTCTTAATGTTTTGAAACACTCAACTACGTATTTATTTATGAACTTCAAAAATGTAGATCTTTGAATCTCATGAACAGATTTGTCAGAAACCTTTAAATACGGGGAACTCAAAAATATTCGGTTAGAAATATGCCATATATGAGATTCATACGTATCGAAAATACAACAGAGCAAATTTACATACAATAATAATGTTATTAAGATAATGAATCAATGGTATATCAAAAGAATAAGCTTATTAATATTTTTGGGCTTTACTCGCCCACCGAAAAATTGTGAGGAATGCGTACCTATATTGAAAAAGGTAATATGCTAATTTCCATAAACAATTGAATCAATGTTAAATTAAACAATTATTTATTCTCAAATATTATTGAATTTGAATTCATTGTCATCATTTGGATATTCATTTATTACCACTGTCGAATTTTAATTGGCTACTTGGACTGTTACCAAATAAACAATGTGTATAATTTTTACCTTCATAATATGACAATAAGGCAAGGTGTATCTCTAAGATCTTATAGCGTAACCTTCAATCTTCACTTTGTTCTGTCAACACTTTTGTCTTCTTCGGTTTGTTATCCTTTGCTATTCTCTACCACGCACGTAGTGATTAGATCGAATTTAGTGAAAAGGGAAAGTGTAGGTGCTGTGTATCCTTATTGTTCTCCACACTTCAGGCGTTGAATATGAAAAAAAAATTGCCTTTTGTAGTTGAACTGTCGTCAATCCGTAGCTCAAGGCAAAATTAATAAATTGCTCCTGAACCCGTGGAAAAAATGTACTCAGCGGTTAACACATTTAGCTAGAAACACATGCTGATACGTACTCCTCTGACGTAACAGTCGTGAATTGCCTATGCAAAGGGATTCCCACCTCTTTGAATTTATTGAGAAAAACAAGGCATTTAGAAAACGGAATAGGAATAACAATGTATGAATATCGATAAATAATTATATAGTAACTCACTTTGATTGTAGCTTATCATAGCATTTTAAGGTAGAAAAAATTCCGTTAATCTTAAATGGATGAATATTCATATTCAATCCTCACGAACCTACCTACGTATCTGTTTTTTTAGGGCAAGCCCACGGAACATCAAGGTAATGATATGTTGTACAATACAAATTAATATTGAAATCTTCGCGTTACCTTACGCTCTGAAAAAGAATAGATATTTGTCTCCCTTGCAAAACTAAAAGATCGGAATGTTTATAGGTGTTGTGGTGTGATATCGGTGGTGGTGGTGGTGGTGATGATGGCTAAGCCATCGAAAGCTGCTCTTGCATTAAATAATATTGTTGGCAATGACAACTTCTATAATTATTTTATGAAAAATGCCAAAGATATCAGGTAGTCGTTTTTGTGGCTTCCATCCAGCAGACAACGGATGATCATGGCTAAGCCATCGAAAGTTGCTCTTGCATTAAATATAATTGTTGGAAATGACAACGTCTTTAATTATTTTATCGGAATGTTTACTTAGGAAGTGACATGTCATAGAACATATGTTCTATTTTTAAAATGTAATGTATGTAATAATTTTTTTGTTGTTATCCAATGTCAAGTGAGCTAACTATATAAAGTAGTTCTAATGTATTTAAGATATGACTGTCTAATAAAGCTTTTTAAATGAGCATACAAATATTGAGATGTAAATGATTGAAGAGGGAGTGGTAATATATTGTTGATTTTCGTAATATTTAGTTCGGTACTATAGACGAAAGAAATTAAAGTTCAGTTTATTTTCGA